TTCTCCTCTCTGGAAAGTTATTCCTTATCCATTTCCCCCATGGCTCAGACTGCAGTAGAGGTCGGGAGTGTGCCCTTTGTGGGAGTTGTGAAAACAGTCCACTTCTTGCTGATATGAGCTTGGTACTCATCACTTTAAGGCCAAGCTCAAATGTCTTAGGTAGTACAATTCCCTCAAAAACTCAGCCTTTTGTTCTCTATGCTTCCAGTTCCATATGCTAGGAACCATCATCAAACTCTTCTAGACTAAATTCTCAAAGTATGCTTTATTTCTTTCCTCCCTCACAGGACCCTTCCTCTCTTTAATAGAGGCTACCTTGAAACCAACTGAAAATAAGACTGCACTGGGAATGTTGCACCCAGATTATCACTGCAGGGCTGGGTCCCTTTCTTTGGCTTAACAACTGGCAGAGAAGTCCTACTGGGCTTCCCCCACACACACACCTCAAAAATAAAACAATTTGGGGGCAGGCCCAGCAGTGTAGCAGTTAAGTTCACGTGCTCTACTTCGGCGGCCCGGGGTTCGCAGGTTCGGATCCCAGGTGTGGACCGATGCACCGCTTATCAAAGCCATGCTGTGTCAGCGTCCCATAAAAAGTAGAGGAAGATGGGCACAGATGTTAGCCCAGGGCCAATCCTCAGCAAAAAGAGGAGGATTGGCAACAGATGTTAGCTCATGGCTAATCTTCCTCAAAAAAAAAAATTTTTTTTTTGAACCGTTTCAGCTACTCAGTGTACAGAAGCAACTGGCTTTTCTAAAATCCTGTGTGTGAGGTTCCTAATATCTGATCTTTCTCTATTCCCTTCCATCTCTGCTTAGAAACTGGTGAGTTCTTTCTTATGATACCTTGCTAAAAGCATCAAGGAACAGCCAATTCATTTTACATTCTGGCTTTTCCAACAGCTACCCCTAGAGCTATCAACTCAGTAGTGACAAAATTTTACCTGAAATACATGCCCCACCTGCTTGTGTAAATGGTAAACCAATGCCATATATTTTGTATTCATTATGGCAATAATCTCACTTCAGCATATCAATTTCTATATTAGAAATATAGGTGAATAGTGTGCATAGGGGCTGTGTCTAGCTTCTGACAAAGACTCTCTCTTTGACCAAACTTTAGCCAGGCACTTCTGAACCCGCTTTTCAACTAAGCCTCATCTTAGGTCGTGTCTTTGGCTTGCCTAGTCCAGTTTTAGCAAGAATCCTGTTAAGTCTCCCCCACCCTCAGTATCTGATCACCTTGGCCTGCCTTTAGCAAGAATCCTGTTAAATCAGTTTAGCAAGCATCCTCCTACCCTTGATATCTCCTCTTAGTAATTTTCCATCCACCAAACCCCAACCCCAGCTCATTGACTATAAATTCCCAGTTGTCTGCTGTCTGCAGAGTTGAGCCTGATCTCTCTCCCCTATTGCGATAGTCTTGGCACCTATTACAATAGTCCTGAATAAAGTCTTCCTTACTGTTTGAGCAAGTGTCAGAATAATTTTTTCTTTAATACTTCCTAGCTCTAAATGCTGGTGGAATTATGACTGCCAGGGAAAGCCAGCATACCCATTTTCCTTAGGGTCCCCCAACAGGACTTCCCTCAATATTGACACTTACTAGCATTCCATCCAAAATTTGTCCTCTTTATATTCCCTTTGGACTTTACTTACAGCAAGCTACTAATTCCTTATCTGGAACTCTTGGGATCAGTTGTTCCAGAATTTGGAACAACTGATTTGGGGTAGAACCTGTAATCAAATACGTTAAAATTTCTGTAGCAAAATATATGAATTTAATACTAAGTGTGATAAATAAAGACTATATAAAAGCCTGTAAGGGAGGTGAGGTTTGGCTGCCAAATGAGTTTTGGTATCAAACATGAAAAAACTTTTGATCTTCAGAGATTTCTGGATTTTGGAATTGTATGTGCATCAACAAAACATTTTGTAGAAAAGTAACCAAAATCATATAAGCATGTAGTTCCAACCAGTTTATAATGTCACATTTCTATTCCTGTCCATTAACTCTTCCTCTGCTCTAGTCCCTTTTCCAAAAGAAAAAGGAGAAGTGAATTATATAGAATCTAAAATTAATTTTGTGGTCCAAAGCAAAGCAAAATTGATCTTAATTCTTCAGAATGTAAAGCCTTTCTTTACTTTCCCCAATAATTTTGTTTTTCCCTATCGTGAGTTAACACCCTCTAGTGGCTGTCCTCAGATATTTCTTCAGTGCTGGTATCACACAAATTACCAGCAAAAGACCAGAGATTGCTTTAGTTAAGACCACCTTTACTTTAGTAAAGACCACCTGTAAATCATGAAAGAAAAGAGAATGTGATTATATGAAAGGTTAAGAATTGGAAGAGAGAATGACTTAATTGCCTCTTAGCTACTCTACTGGAAAAGTAAGCTACAGTTTATTTCACTTAAATCATAGAGATTAATGGTATTTAAAGACAAACTTACAATAACAAGGACTTTATGTCAGCCTTAGGACCAAATTTACCTTATAATGGAGGGGGATGCTAAGGAATGATGACAGAAGCTAAAGTGATACCTTATAATCAATTGTATAATGTACCCAACTTGTTTTAAATTTTATACATGATTTATAGATGGCTTATCAAATGTTTAGTCTAAGTTATTAAAACTTGAAAATATTCCCCAATTTTACAAAGAATTTAAAATTGTGTTCATTTAACAAACACAAAATATGTGGTAAGACACTGTGTGAGGTGTTTAAAGGTCATTTTCTAATTATCCTGTTGCCTATCTTCTCTAAAACTACCACTGGTCTTCCATGCATTTAGATCTCTAGAGACAAGCTCCAAATGCATCCCCAAATACATTTTCTCTCCCATCAACCCACCTCATCTCCCTGTCAGATTAGGGATAATTTTATTTCCTAAACTCCTCTAGCTGTCATACTATGGAAATGCATGGGAGCTATAATTTGGGAAGAGATTATTAAAATTTATGTAGAAATGCTATTTGTGTTGTAATAAATCACATACATAGGAGATTTAAGTAGCTATCTGATAACAGTCATCTAATTCCTCATCTCTAAATCCTGCTAAAGTTAAAACATATAGCCTGAAAAAACTTCATAGAGGCTTCGAGTGTAATATATTTATGTCTTAACTATTCTGAATAGTTTTCACCAAATACAAAACCATTTTTAGATTAATGTTCTAAATTTCTAAGGTATATTAAATTAATTGCTAGTGGTTAATTTTAACATATAAGCAGTTCCATCCTGTGTCTCTTGCAAATGTGGACACTTCAAAAAGGCTACTAATTCTAGTAGTATGTGTCTTTCTAGAGAAATGATCAATGGAAGCAAGGCTATCTTAAAAAAATATTCAAGAAAAAGGAAGCTACTTTAGCCTGGTAAAGTTAAAAAGCCTCTAAAAAGGCCAACTAAAATAAAATCAAAATACATTTATTTTTCTCCTTTATTAGAGAAAAGGATAAAGTTTAAGTCATTTTAAACAATCAAGTCAGATTAGGAGAGTAAAAGGAAAAAGCCATTTTGTTACTAAGGAAGAACATGCTTTGTCTACTGCATGGATCTAACACACATATTTATAAGAGCTTAAGTTTTGGTTAAACCTGTCAGCCTTGGTACATCCACAGAGGGCACATCCACAGGAAGTAGCAGTGAGCTGGCAAAACTAATTGATCAGATTTTACCACTGCAAGCTCATGGAGTTTAACCAAACGTTAAAGTTAAAATGAATCTGCAACCAAGAGAGCAAAAAAAAGCTTTAATATATCTTCAGAAAAAAAGCTCACATACAAGACACTTGTCAGGCAAGAAAGTTTCTGTAAAATTAAGGAAGGATTATCTCCTGAAGTAGCGGTTTACCTTCAGAAACATTCTCCTCTAGAATCATTCAGCATGTCTAGTTCATGTGCACATTCCAAATACAAAGCAAGAAAGGGAGTCCTTGCAAGATGTGTTAAGTTCAGTTAGTATTAAATAAATACAAACCATGGTTAACTATGTAGTATTAAGATTTTCCACCACCAATTTATGAAAGTTCAGAACACAGCAATGGAATAAAGCACTTATTTGCATTTTCAAGTCACTCTCTAAAATGAGTGAATAGTATTACTAGCTACGTTTGGCTTCCTTTAGTACAAGAAGCTAGAGACTCCTTTTCTTTATACATAAGCTCTAAATATACTATTGGGGGGGAGGTGTATGGGCATTTAGTTGGGGCTAAGGATGGGTGTGTGTTTCCATGAAGGGATCTAAAATATTACCCAACTAGTATAAAGTTCTCTAGATGGTTAGTATTAAAGTAGTTCCGTGGTCTCAGAGATTTAGATCACCTTCCAAAGGGTCTAACCTGTTACCCAAACGTAAAAAATTCTTAAAATATTTTAAATGGAACAACACAGCTCCATTATAGTGTAGTTCTGTGACTTCTGGCAACTACTTTAAAAAGAGGAGCAATAGTAATAGTTGCTGTACCTACCTCAGAGGCCGCTTTTAAGCCAGATGAGATAACAGACTTAAAACAGACTTGAATTTGTCAGGAAAAAAGCAAGATAAAAATACAAAGCATAATGACTGTTACCTATTAGCCATTAGAATCTCTTAAAGATCAGATAAAAGAAAATAACTTATAGCCCCCCCAACAATAATTTACCTATTAAAATGGGTATAATTTAAAGAAGAAAACATTTAAATTTTATTTTCAAGAGCAATGTACGCATAGCAATCTTGTGAATAGGATAAGCCATTCAAGCATAAAACAACTATAAAAGCTTGAAAAAAAATCTGTACACCATTTTGTTTTGATAAACCTATTGTCTTTGTATTCAAATGTAAAATACGCTGCCCTATTAACCAGTGATTCTATGAATGACACTTAGACATTTCTGTTTTGTTGACTTGTCAACAAAGCACCTCTTTAAAGGAATCTATAATTTAAGTGAACAACAGACCATAACTATAATTTGACACAAACTAGGTAAATGCAGGTCACATACAACACTTTCAATTGTTGATAGAATCAAATAACCATACAGAAACTTTATTGCATTTAGCTCTGTACAACAGAACATACTCTCATTTTTATCAGAGAGCTACCAGTTATATTGTAGCATAGCCGTTTAAGAGGAAATTCCAAGAACTGATTTTTCCAATAGCAGTGAAGCTGCTGCATATTATTTCGCTCTGTACAAACCAAAACTTTCTCCAAACTATTAAAACTGTGTAACTTCTAATGATATTAATCTCTTAAATCTGATATGTAACGTGCCACTTGCTTTTATTCTAAATTCAAAGACCAGGTAACTTCAAAGTTTTTTTTCTTAAAAAGAAAGACTAAAGTAAATGTCTGAAAGAATAACATTGCTAGATGTTAGAAACAAGATGTGCAGATTGATTCAAATTCAGTCTGGCAAATGATTTTAGAATCCAAATCTCCTCTCGGGAATTAAAAATACTTGAATATAGTTTACTCCTTTCGTACTCTTCTTTTGCGTATTGACTTCACTGGCCCATCTCCAGATCCTGTGCTTTCATCTGCTTCTTTCATCTAGAAAAAAGAATTATGAAAATGTTTACTTTCGTACAACAGGTAACTAGTCATAGTAATAAATAATATATTTCTTATTCTCTAAAATACATATTCTAACACATCAAATGCTGTCTTAATGTATGTTCCTTTACTTCATGCAGCTGATCGAGTGTGTATATAACTTGATGTGTTTTAACTGGCATGAATACATTTTTAGAATAACTGCTTATCAAATATGCATCTGACAAGGAATACTCTAACAACTCAATTCATGATTTAATTTTATGATTTGGAATTTAATGTCATAATTAACAGGTTATACAATATTTTCATTGTGGGATATTAAGCACTAACTATTCATCACAATATTCCTGCAAGTGAAGAATTGCTGAGCTGGTTTTACAGAGACTTTTTAAGAACTTCTGGCACGTAGTACTTTGAGCAATATTAGGGGAGAGGAAAGGGCAAAATCAAATTTATGGTTTGGATTTTTTCTTTAATTCTTATCCTTCCAGAATAAGCATTTATACACAAACTTGTGTAACAAAATAAAATAATGAAGGTGTTACATGGTATTATACAAAATACTTATAATTATTTCTCAAGGGTATGCTATACAAAAATTGGCTTATTTTCACTCACTGACAAATATATATGAGACTAAAAGTACACAAAATAGGGGCCAGCCTGGTGGCGCAGCAGTTAAGTGTGTGTGCTCCGCTGCGGCGGCCCAGGGTTCACAGGTCCAGATCCTGGGCTCTCACCAACACACCGCTTGTCAAGCCATGCTGTGGTGGCGTCCCATATAAAGTAGAGGAAGATGGGCACAGATGTTAGCTCAGGGCCAGTCTTCCTCAGCAAAAAGAGGAGGATTGGCGACAGATGTTAGCTCAGGGCTAATCTTCCTCACACACACAAACACAGACACACAAAATATTTTGTGAAGCAAAATATAACTAGAATACATATTCAAATAAATTATTGCAAGTATTATTATTAAGAGAGTGACAGCTGAAACAATGACTGTTTAAAACTTTGTTGTGGAAGAAATTATCTTCACCTGGCTCCCTCAGAATATAGATGTTCATGCTAGATAATGATTCCCCAAACCCCTTTAAAAACTCACAAGGCAGTTCAGACCAGTAATCAGGTATATGTACTGAATAAGCTTTAGAAAACAATGAAACAATAACAATAAAAGAGATCTCTCCAAACAGACAAAACAGAAAGTTTTTCATCACATGCAACAGGCCAGACAAAACTGTCTGTTCTGTTCCCTCCCTAACACTAAGTACCAACAGTGGTGAGGATGGCGACTCTGGGGGTGAGACTGCGCAGCTCTTAAAGGGCTAGAGAAGTAGAGAAAACAGGCTTTTGGTATATGCTGGGTGAAAAAAGAAAGCTCTGGTTCTGAATTATACCCTGGATGGTTTCTGATTCCATAATAACTGACTGAAAAAAGAGGCACTATGGAAAGTTCTATTATATATCAGCATGCAAAAAGGACTAGACATATCAAGTTAATGGGAAAACTATTTATTCAAGATTTAAGAAAAACACCATTTCAGGCAGATAGTACTCAACTACCCAATGAATGAAGTATCAAAACATGACTAAATTATTGAGACAAGGAGAATGTTTTCACAATGGCTATAAAGAAAATTGTCTCGTAATAAACAATTACCCTTTAAATATTCAAATAGTCTGTTTTATCATACTTTTCAAAGGAATACTTTAATGATAAAGTCATGATTTTTTACAGATGCAGCTCTATATTTTGTGAACTACAGGCTTACTTTATACTGTTTCATTAGGCATTAAGATGATATAAATTCTAGTATTTTCTTGCCTTCTTTATGGATATATTTTAAAAACAATATAGCTCTTATGAAAGCTGGGAGAAATATGGCAAAGAATTCTTCACAAGCCAGATTGCTGCTTTTATTGAAATAATTTTTTATTGATAATGATCATATATAGAAACTACTTTATTTTCTGTTAAAGAGTTGCTTACCTCATCCTCTGATCCAGACTTATTTGATTTATTACCTTCTTCTTGTCCTTCTATGATTTCAATTTCTTCTTCACTCTTTTCCTCAGGTTCACCTTCCTCTTCTAGAATACAGATTTTATTAAAGGCAAAGACTCGATGAATTAGAATTTTGCTACTGAAAAGTATAAAATACAATACGGGGGATTTATTTAAATTCCAATATTTAAAAGCAATTTCTTCCATTAGAAATTTTTAAAAAATTAATTATACTCATTATTTTACCATATTTTATAAATAGATCATCATATTTGAAGAAAAGGACAGGTTTTAAGAATTCTTAAGCATTGAGTCTATGTAATATGAAAATCAAAGAATACATATGTGTGTGTGTATTTCTTTTTTTGAGAGAGTATGGGGTTTGTTTTTTTTTTTTGAGGAAGATTAGCCCTGAGCTAACATCCATTGCCAACCTTGCTCTTTTTGCTGAGGAAGATTGGCCCTGAGCTAACATCTGTGCCCATCTTCCTCTATTTTCTCTGGGACACCGCCACAGCATGGCTTGATAAGTGGTGCACTGGTCTGCACCCGGGATCTGAACCTGTGGATCTCTGGGCCACTGAAGTGGAGCAAGCGAACTTACCACTACACAACTGGGCCGGCCCTGAGAGTATCATTTTTAAGTCAACTGTTTCATCAAATATTAGGTTAAAAATAGTGCTCAAGACAATTTAAGTTGCAAAGGGCTCAATCTGGAACTTGGCTGGGGACACCTGACAAATATCAATAGTTTTATTTCTACCTAGATGTGCGTAAAGAGGTCTCAATGGAGAGCCACCAAAAGCCTCAGTTCTTCAGTTCTAACATCTTCAGGAGTTCAGTATAGGGTAAGAAGGGGACATATGATTCAGCAAAACTTTCAGAAGATTAAATTATTTATTTGATATGATAAACTCTCTGCTAAACAGCAGCCATCGGAAGACTTGGTGTTGATTCTGTTGCTGCAATCACCTGCCTTGAACCTACCACTCTTCTACAGAGGCCACAGTCTATACCTCCATCTCATCTATATTCTCAGAGGCAAGAAAAGTCCTATACAAAAAGGCATATGGGATTCATAGTTGCTGGGCTCTGAAGCAACTGAACAATACTTAAATCTCTTTCTTCCTAGAAGACCAAAATTATGAACAGGACGGCTGCTCAGGGTACAACCGCCAGGCAGGGAGGATTCCTCCACTTTGCCATGGGCACACATTCTTGGGGATACAGGCAGTATAAACTGGACAATAAGCAAGTGCAACAGCTAGTGTTTACCAGACAATTGGCTGTTTTTATGAGCTTTGCCCAGGGTCCCCATATTAAATCACTATTATCATCTTACCTTTTTCAAGAATTTCATCATCACTTTGTTTTTTTTCCTCTTCCAAGTCCACTGGCTTCTCCAGGGCTGCCTTCTCCTCCTTCACTTCTTGCTCCAGTGCTCCCTTGGTTTGCGGTTTACATATGTCAGTTTTTTTATACTCTGCATGTTCATATTTTTTCTGTAATAGTTTAACATAAGATATTTTTACTAAAAGCAAAGCATTATTTTTTAAAAGGTTTTTTACAATAACTGACATACACAGTGAACTATCAGTAAAAATTTATAGGAAATTTAGTTTATTACTTTTAAGAACCACTTGCTCAATTCACAACTCCTAACACTAAGAGATTGTTTTTTAAGTTGAAGGAAATTCATTTTGTTTACCTTTACTTTTCTTGGCCAACAAAATGAAGTAAGTAATGCTAGTGGAAGTCCCACTGCCACAAGATAAATGAGCCAAAGCCAGGGGCGCTCTCCAGCAGCTGCCATTAACTGTTTAAATATACCAGGCTATGGAAGAAATAAGAATAAAAATTCAATGCAGATTTTACAAACCTCAAAAAAAAACTTATTTTACCTAGGTGTTTTATATTAAGGAGTGATGAACTTATAAGCTAAAAAATATTTTAATTTCCCATCTTATAGTCTGTAAAGTTTAAACTCCTTAATTATCAGCATGCATCACTGTTTGAGACTTCGTAGTAGAAGATATGTTACTACATGGGTGGAAACTGCTAACCTACCAGCAAGAGTTATGACAATTTTCTTTTTTGGTAAATTTTAGGATAGAATTACTCTGTGGATGTATTATCTGGTTCATTTAAAAATATACAACTCTCTGATAACTCATTCTGTACTTTTAAAAGACTTATTAATAAAATCAACCTGAGAATTATTGTGTTTTTCTTTTTTATTAACACATTTCACATACAATCTTCAGTAAGGAAATTGTTTCTTATTAAAATAAAATCTAAAATCATCAAATGTTTTAGTTAAGAGTTTCAAAACGAGAATCTCTCTACCTTTAACTTACTCTTTTGACGGGTTTTGCTAATATTCAAAGAAACCAAATGTAAGATACGAATTTTTCTTTATAATAATTGATTTTAAAGATACATTCTCCAAAATGCATTGTGTTGAAATATTTAGCTTTATCTCTTCTAAATAGTGTTAAGATTTGAGAGAAAAGAAACTAGAACACAATTTAATAATATTAAATCTCTAGACTCCCCTAAGTGAAAAGTAGTTAAAATGAATAAGAATAATATTTAGATTACTATTACCACTTAGGCCTTGCATTAACAAGGTGACAAAGATATTAAGAAGTCTTATTTCTATAAACAGCAAATAGGCATTAAATCCCATTGTGCTATCATAATTTAGTGAATGAAATGAAGACTTACATATATATTTAGTTCATTATGTAGTTTATAATGAAATTGTATCATAATATAGTAAAGCTAAATATTCTGTCTACATAAATTTATTTAAGTACATTTCTTTGGCATTTAGTAATTATTGCACATTTATTTACCTTTTTAAGGGCCATTTGTATAATCTATAACAGGACCAAGTCCTATTATTACTACATGGTAAATACTGTACCTCATTAGCATTTGCTACCATTATTTTCACTCCCCAACCATCTGCAGCCCAGTGATCCGCTACTTCCTTTTCTGAACAGATAATAAAATTATCAAAGTAGATATCAGAGGTCATAGACCAAAGCTCTAAACCAAGAGCACGGAAAGAGGTGAGAAGAAATGGATGATCATCTTCAAAATAATCTGGATTAGGAATTTTTCGAGGACTCCAGATTCCCTGGAAGAAAAAATAATTTAAGACATTTTCAAATGATTTTATTATAAATGCTACTCAAGAAGTAGTTGCTGCGGAATGAAATTAGCAATACTAACTGGAGAAAAAGAAAACTTGAACTGATATTAATTCATTAGTAATTCACCAGAAATAAACTTTTCTTTCTTCTTCTTCTGTATATGATATTCCCTATGAATGATACTGACATTAAACTGCAAAACAAGGTAAAGTGAAAATCAAACACACACAGAAACTTGAGTACATTTCATAAGTACGTGATACTAATTTAGACAAGTTTTTTACATTTCATAAACTTATTCAAGGCAAGATGTCACTAAAATTGCCCAAATCAGAGAGGTCACTGTATGGCAGAAATGGAGCCACTCCTTTCAACATACACCATGGCAGGCATCAATAATCAATCATGGTTGAACCTCAGAACAATTATTCAACATAAAAGTTCCATTAGATCTTAAATGATTAAACTCAACCAAATCAAATCAATTCGACACTACGATCACTCACTGACTCACTCCACCATCATATATATCTATTCTGTGCCAGGCACTATGCCAGGTGCTAGGGATACTGTGATGATCAGGACAGACCTGGTTCCTGTATTATGGAATTTAAAGTCTAATGAGGAAGACAGACATTAAAAACAAAGTTACCAAAATAAACATTTTGTGATAAATGCTATGAAGAAAACTACAGTGAGCAATTAGAATATGTAACTGCATATATATAATAAATGCTAGAAAATGTCAATGAATAATTAGATAAAAACTACAGTGTTAAATGGATAACATAGGGACTTCTACCCAAAAAGCTAGATATATTTAAAAGATATCTGATTCATATTAGAAAAAAAATCCTAATTTTAATAACACCAGAAAGTAAGGAGCACATTAATTAAGCACAGGTATCAATTACTAAAATATACAATGTGAGTCCTGTTGATCATCAATTGATTACTAGGGAAAAATATAGTATGAAGTGACTGATCTTTAGTTCTTTATTTTATTCCCCCAGAAAATTAAATAAAGAATGCTTTACTTTCTAAATATAAATTAGTTGAAGTCTATTTTCTTTGTCTTCTTAAGATAGCTAAGGCACACTATTACAAATCAAATTTCTAAAAGTTAACATTATCAATAACTAGATATATAACAGAAATGTCAAACAAATTTTACTTTACTATGGGACTGGAACAAGTGGTTATTACCTGGTAGTCAGGATTATCTATCATTGGAGGTCTCCATACTCCTTTGTATTTTGGGTTATCTATCATGGGAGGTCTCCACTCACCACACCCAATCCGACATGCTGGATTAGAAATACGCGGTGCCTCCCATTCTCCATCCATGTCTTCATTCCTTAGGATATCAGAACAATGCAAATATAGTAACCTTAAGTCTCTTCTGTCAATCATATGAACTAGTAACAACAAAGCAAGTAAGAAACATATGAAATTGACATTTGAAGGTGAGGAATGCTTACCAGTCATCAGGTTTTTCAGCATTAGGATCTGGAATAAATTTGGGTTCATCATCAAGCCAGCCATCAGGTTTAACAACACTTGAATCTTCTATTTGGGCAGGTTCACTTTCATCCCTGTAAATACAGTATTTTATGTTAATTATTAATTATTTGAAAAGCTTTAAAATGCACGTTACAAAATTCAGAAGGTACCAAAAGGCATTTCCTACCCTTCTGTCTTTGTTCATACTACTTCCCTATCTCGCATCCACCTGAATCTTCTGCTAACTTGCCACTTTTTTGTATATATTCCGTTGTGCACATATGTATATATCCTTTTTTTTATACAAATGATAGCATTTATACAAAGTATGTCAGACCTTGCTTTTGTTCACTTAAAAACTCAGTCATTCATCAACAAACATATAATGAACGCCAACTATGTGTCAAGACTGTTCTAGGAGCTCTATTTTATATACATATAAATCTGCTTCATTCTTCTTAACAGTCGCATAGTTTTCTACTTTCTACTGGATACATCATAATTTATTTAACCTATCTACTCTTAAGGGACATTTAGTGTTTCTAAAAACTTACTATTACAAATAATGCTATAATGAATACCCTGGAATACGTCAGAAATTAATAAGAAACTAGCTGTCAGCTATACGAATTGAAAATATTTTTTCCAGTTTCTCATGTATTTTTTGGAATGGGTTGTGGTGGGGTTCTTTTTACTGTACACAAATCATTTATTTCCATGTAGTTGAAATTTATTAATATTTTCTTTTATGATTCTTCAATTTCACATCATATTTGGAAAGATCTTCCCTATTCAAACATTATTTTTTAAAACTCTCCATATTTAATTCTAGTAATTTTATATTTTCATTTTAAAATATGACACTAAGAAAGTAAATTCTAAAGTATATAAACATTATCATAGTAAGTACTGAATAGAACTATAGTCATGCACCACATAATGACGTTTTGGTCAACAATTGACTGCATATATGACGGTGGTCCCATAAGATTAGTACCATCTAGCCTGAGTATGTGGGAGGCTATACCATCTAGGTTTGTGTAAGTTCATCTATGATGTTCACACAATGAGGAAATCACCTAAAGACATTTCTCAGAACATATCCCTGTCATTAAGCAATGCATGACTGTACTAATATAATTTTCATCTTTATAGAAAAGTAGAAATTTTAAAGAAGAGGCTACAATATGATTTTCCAAACAAAATCTGAGTAACCAAATAAACTGAAATAATCAACTCTATATATGTAAAGACTTATACTTGCCTGATATCAATGTTATCTTGAGTCTCTGAAGGCTCAGAGTAACCAGAGCTTAAAATTTAAGGGAGCATTTCTTTTAGCACTTCATAAAACAAATTCTAACACATATCACCAATCAGAGTGAAGCTGTTATATGCAGTTTCTCTCATTTAAGGGCAAACTTATTTCCCAGCCTTACTCTTTATGGGTAAGGAAGCCCACGGGCAGGGATGCAGTCCTACCTTTTCTGATAGTATGAATTCATGAAAGTGATGCACTAATAAGTGACTTTTTATTAATTTGTTTAAAAACCATACTGCTCTTCCTACCTTGTACAAGTTACTTCCCTATTATATTATTTGCTGAGGGCAAAGACATTTTCATTACTAATCAGTATCGTTCTCTACCTACAAGAGAGTTAAGAGGTTAACACTTTTGGTTATCCAGGAGCAACACTCTATGTTCTGAATAGGTAGTAACCCCAATGTTTATAAATAAACAAGAACCTGAAGAAATAGGAACACTTTCCAAAATGAAGCACAGAAAGAAAAAGTAGTTTAAAAAATGGACAGATTCACATACAGTGGTCCTCCCTTATCCAACGTTTTGCTTTCCACAGTTTCAGTTACCCACGGTCAACTGCAGTTGGAAAATATTAAATGGAAAATTTCAGAAATAAACAACTCATAAATTTTAAATTGTGTGCTGTTCTGAGTAGTGTGATGAAATCTCTCACTGTCCCGCTCCATCCCGCCGGGGACGTGAATCATCCCTTTGTCCAACACATCCACACTGTATACACTACTGCCCATTAGTCACTTAGTAGCTGTCTCAATTACCAGATCAACTGTCCCAGCATCTCAGTGTTTGCGTTCAAGTAACCCTTATTTTACTTAATAACAGCCCCAAAGTGCAAGAGTAGTGATGCTGGCAATTACGATATGCCAAAGAGAAGTTATCATGTTGTTAAGCTCTTACTGTGCCTAATTTATAAATTAAACTTTATCATAGGTGTGTATATATAGGAAATAAAACATATATATAGGGTTCAATACTATCCACAGTTTCAGGCATCCGCTGGGGGTCTTGGAACCTATCCCCCATGGGTAAGGGGGTCTACTGTAAAGAAGTAAATGTATGATAACAGCACAAAGGATGGAAGGGGGAAAATATGACTCTTATAAGATTAATTTAAACATGAAGTGGTATAACATTATTTGAGAGTAGAGCAAAATAAGTTAAACATGCATACTGTAAACCCTAGAGCAACCACTAAAACAATAAGCCACAGAGGAAAAGCTACTAAGCCAACAGAGAAGAAAAAATAGAAGACTAAAATAAAATAACTCAACCCAAAAGAAGTTAGGAAAAATTTTTGTATAATGGACCACAGACTATATGGGACAAACAGAAAACAAGTAGTGAGATGATAGGTTTACATCCAACCATATCAATAATTAAATTAAATAGTTTAAAACACTCCAATTAAAAGGCAAGACCCAAACACAGGTTGCCTACAAGAAAATCACGTTAACAACAGAGGCATACAGGGGCCAGCCTGGAGGCATAATGGTTGGGTTCTCGCACTCTGCTTTGGTGACCCGGGGTTCACGGGTTCGGATCCCAGGTGTGGACATACACACTGCTTTTCAAGCCATGCTGTGGCAGCGTCCCACGTACAAAACAGAGGAAGACCGGCACAGATATTAGCTCAGGGACAATCTTCCTCAAGCAAAAAGAGGAAGATTGGCAATGGATGTTAGCTCAGGGCCAATCTTCCTCACCAAAAAATAAAAATAAAGGCATATGTATAGATTGCAAGTTAACAATGGAAAACAATATTCAATGGAAACATGATTTAAAGGAAAGCAGAAGTGTTGATTTGATATCAGACAAGTAGACTTCAAGACAGGGAGTATTACAAGAGTTTATAAAGAAGGATATTTTATAATAATAAAAAGATCAGTTCCTCAAGAGGTCATGAAATACTGTGAATGGATCTAGTAACAGATCTTCAAAATACATGAAGCAAAAACTAACTCAAAGGAGGTACAGACAAATTCACAATCATAGTTGAAGATTTTAATACTCTTCCCTCAGTAAGAGGACAGAAAACCAGTAAGAATATAGAAGTTTTGAACAATACTATCAACCAACTTGATGTAACTGACATTTGTAAATGTTTTCTGATCATACTAGAATTAAATTGGGAGTCAAAATGAAAATTACAGCTGTAAAAGCAATAAATTGACAACAAAGCAACACATTTAAAAAAAACACATGGATCAAAGAAGAAACCACTAGGGAAATCAGAAAATGGTATGAACTGAATGTTCTTGTAAAAAACATATATTTGTGGAACATATATTTGAGTTCACCATCTGAATTCAAACTATGGGAACTCAGGAACTGAATACAGTTCTTTTAAGGAAAAATTCATAATCCTGTAGAATAGAAACAATATAAATACTCTGCTAGTGAAAAATTTATGGTTAAGCAAACTGGTATGAGTGAATCCTGTAGAGTTTTATAAGATGCAGAGGATATGGCTATTTTAAGCCAAGTAATCATTAACTGAAAAGACTGCAACTAGATAAAATATGCACACACACACACGATAAAGATCTAACTAGGAATTAAAATTAAAACGTTGGTGTTTTAGAGTCATGGAATTTTTTTCACCATGTATAGCACTGAAAGCATAAAAATAAAAATATATCAAAAAAGGCAAAAAAATTAAAATATTAATGACAATGAAAATTAAGATAAATAAGAGGCAGGGAAGTACAAAATTCATTTTAGAAAAGTATTTCACCCAAAATAGTCAAAATAAGTACTTTTGACGTTTAAAAGAATAAGTTTCATTGGTTGTAAACTTCACATACATATTATATCTCATTACTTAATTACAGCAAATAATGCTTGGCTACTAAATTCTTTGCTTACCAGTCTTCTGGTTTGACGGCAGATGGATCAGGGATTTTTGCTCTTTCATCCCAATCATCAGGTTTCTTATCATCAGGATCTTCAATTTCTTTGGGAGGATTGATTGGAGGAACCACATCCTCTAGCAGGCTTCCTTTGTTTACAACTATTTGATCAATTAATACTTCAAATGTGTCATCTGGATTCAACACTAAAGATCAATTTAAATACATTACACTTATCATATTGATAAACATTTTAAAGATAATCTTCTAAATAATAAAATGACCCTAAACTTCATGGGTAAAATTTTCTCTCAACCAGAAATGGAGGTATTACCAACGTATGACATCAAAATATGCTGAAATCCCTAGATATAATGTTTCCTAAAATCAAAGAAAAAATTTTGTTTTAAGTAATGATAGTAACTTAATAAAATGCTCCATTATGTCTCAAATAAAAAATACCCCATAGCTACCTGAGAGTTTGGGACTCACACAACCAGTCAGCTTCACTCTTTTATAGTTACAGAGCACAAGCTCATCTTCTTCAGTATTTTAAAATAATTTTTTTGAAATGATCTCAAACTTAAAAAGTTGCAAACACTCTAAAGAACTTTATTTTCTCCTGAACCACTTGAGAGTAAATTACTGACCTCATACACATCATCTCTGAATGTTTTAATATATATTTCCTACAAACAAGGACATTCTCCTACATAACCCCAACCTAGGTACCAAAATCAGGAAATTAACATGGACACATTCCTACCATTTCCTAGAAATCTTTCAAGTCCATTGGCATTTCAAATTCAATGATTCATACACTGTAGTGTAAAATATCTCATGGAATGAAAATATTCAAGCTTACACTTATCAGTGTGTTTGTTTGGAGGTAAATTCTAGCTCTCTAAAGGGACGTCCCCAAGCCAACTTTCATAAAGGACTCTCTTATCCACTGTAATGACAAAATGAAAGCTCTCTCCTCCATCTGTAAACGTGGGGGCAGGGGGTGTCACTGGGTAAAACTCATATCTTTGGAAAGAATGATAGATGAAAATAGCTGCAGAACATTTGCTGTCAAGAAGCTAAGGAAGTAGGAGCTGTCAGCAGATGTCAGGATCATCCTGACTTACCTAGTAAGTGAGTTACCACTTTCTGAAGAAATAGTTCTCAAGTAATAACAATCTCCAGAGGTTTCAGTCACAACAATGCCAAATTATTTATATCAAAATCAAATACTGCAATTTATATACAAACTCAAATAATGCAAACAAACACTCAATATTTTCTCCCTTCTCTTTTTTCTCCATTATTTCCTCTTCTATTACAGCTGAGATTATAAAACTATATGACTATACAAAGAAAAAAGTCAAGATTGAAGCAGAGCTAAGAGTAAGATCTTAAATGCAAAAATGTACTATATCGTTCCTAATCCAAAAAAAGAAATTTCTTAAAAAAAATCTTGAAAAGAATGTCTTCTGAATAAATTTTGCAACTGAAGTTGATTTTTTAAAATTACAGTTAAAACAAAAAAGCACATGACAAATATCCATATTGTGAAACAACATCTTTGTCCAAAATCTTTGGCCAAAAAAAAGTTCCATTTAGAAAACTGTATTAAATATTTTAAATGAATCTACAATAAAAGGCATTGGATTATAAAGTCGTTTAAGGTACTCGTAAGTTTCTTAGAACAACTACAGAATAATGTTATAAAAATGTAATATAGAAAGTTTTTTAAAAAAGAAGTCATTCAAGAATCCTAGCACAGCAAAGTTTTTTGTTTATAGTGGTAAGAAAAGCAAATGTTTACGAGTCAGACTGAATTTCAATTCCAGTTCTACAAGTTACTATTGTTTCCTAGAGCAAGCTATTTAACCTAAGGCAAAATAGAGAAACTGTTCCACTCACACGATGGTTCTAAACAAGGTACCTATCTCAGAGCCAGGTACATATCAGGTGACTAATGAAAATTAGTTCTTTTTTTCTAGTCTTTTTCTATCTGCTTACCTAATTTGCCTAGTGGCCATCATAATGTGCCTCTAATTTGAATTTTGTTTTCTTCTTCCATTTTAATATTATAAGAATTTCTTCCCAGTTGCTAAAAATTTTCATAGTTATCATTTTGTATTACATAGAAAACCCCTACTGTAACATTTGGACTGCTTCAAATTTGCAGTATATTTTCACACATAGGTCATTTTCTGCCTTCTGGATTATTTTCTTTGGATAAACTCCTGAAAGTGAAATTATGGTTTCAAAGGCCATAAACCTCTTATGGCCTTTGACATAATTTGATATATACTACCAAATTGCTTTTGATCAGGTTTGCACAAAGTCTAATCAAATTCATTTCAGATATTGTTCTAGTTATAATTTCTCATTATTTCTACAGTTTACTTTATATTTCCCAAAACGTCTAGTACTATATTCCAATTTCAGAAAAAGATATTTGACATCAATGCTGACATTAAAAATACAACTGGTCATTGCCTTGGCAGACAAAATGCTTGTTTCTGCAACTGCAGTCTTTGGAAAGAAAACTGTAATACCTTAGTGTTGGATGGAGTTGTCCTGTTAGGTTCTGACATGCTGAGACTCTAAGTAACCATGGGCAGACCAAAGCTCTCTAACCATAAGTGCTTGGGAAGAGGGAAACACTCCTTATAATATTCCTCCCCTCAATGTCTATGCAAACTCTACTTACCTAAGTAAAGCTAAGTATGCTAACACATGGTTGCCCAACGCTTTCTCTTTCAAAGTTTGGACGTGCACCACTACCACCACAAGGTAGGACTTAATAATAACCACAACTGCCTATAGAGTAAAGTCTAAGCTTTTCGCTTGGCATTAAGGACTTCTTCCTCTTTAACCTTATTTTCCAGTTTTCTGTTCTTACAGCACCACTAATGTCATAGTGCCTAAAATATCCTTTTCCCCTCCTATCTTCCACATTCTATCTATACTTCAAGACTAGTTCAAATATAATCTTCACTAGGTTTTCTCCAAGTCTCCAAACTGGAAGTAATATTGCTCTTGAACTCTTAACCGTCCCTTGTCCACACCTCTCATATGGCACTTTACTTTCTGTTTGTACTATAATTATGTATGTCTTATTTTTCTAAAAAGATAAGCTCCTTATGAGTAGGATCCATGTTTGCTTCTCCCAAAGCACTTGCCATGAAAATATCAGTAGTTCAGCAAATATTTTTGAATTAATGAATGAATTAAAAATATATACCAAGGGTATAAAGATGAGTCTTCCTGTCTGTAAAGAACTTTTTAAGGTCTACATCAGGAGGTTTGGCATGTTTCTCTTCAAAAACTCCAGTTTTTGGATGTTTATGTCTGAAGATAAAATGAAGTTTATAATCTTCTCCACATTTATCTGGTCCAAACATAATGGTATAGGATGTTTTATCATAAAAGTTTTCCTTCAAAGAGAGACGAGTGTTGGGATTAGTCCAGAATTAGAGTATTTAATGAATTCCTCTATTCTATCCAATTGGGTAGAGTTTACAAAAATGTATTAAATGCTAATTCACCAAAGAATTACTTGACACAAGTGACAATAAAGGATGTGGAAAAATGACACCATTTATTTCAGAATATTTTTTTAAAAAAGCACACACTACTTCCTTCCTGAAGATGTAGGAGAGAAGCTGGAACTACCCTAGCAACATCATAATAAGCTTTAATTACTTTATGTAAATCTGTACTATTAATATTTTATTAAGAAAATTAAGCATAGAGAAAAGCATACTTATGACATTTAAGACTACAATGATTATCCATTACTATATTTCAGGAAGACACCAGAAAATGACCCTCCTAAGCACAGAGTGAAAAGAGCTTCAGACACAAACACAGACACAGAGACATGCTCCCTGCTTTACCACTAGTGACTTCTCTTTATTTGGCATGGTCTACTGGTTAAGAGCATGGGACTGGAGTCAGATACTGAGATTCAAATCCTACCACTGACACAAACTAGCTGTATGTGGCCCTGAGCAAATTTCTTAACCTCTCTGTAGTTCTGTTTCATCATCTCTGAAGTATGGAGATAATAATAGTACCTACCTTATAAGGTTTCTTTGAGGATTAGCTGAGTTAATCAGTTAAAGTGCTTGAAAAGTACTTGGGCATTTGATTTTATTATTGTCATTATACCTTCAGGTGAATCGTCAACTTAGAATACCCAAAACAAGAACTTCAACATATACCACAAATGGCTCCCCTTTAACTGATCCTACTAATAGTACATGAATCCTTTAATCCATGTTTCATAGCCTATGCATAGCCTCGCGTTCTGACAAATATCTCGATGTCTCATTTATCTTATTTCTGTTATATGCAGAAATGCTGACACAGCCTCCTGTAGGAGAACGCTATAAGAAATATCTCCAAATGGTCCTAATACAACCTACTTCATTATGAAAACATTTTTAACTCAGTTATTCTTGGGGGGCTGCCAACTCCTGAACTGGCCTGCCTTATTTACTTGGTTCTTTGGCCATTTCATTTTACTGCTTTGCTATATTATCTTGCTTCTCTGAACAAACTTTTGATTATTATTGTGCAAAGAAAATAACTCTAAGCTGATCCTGTGATTGCATTTATAAGCACCATGTTATTTTTCATTTATAGACATGGTAAACTTTTTATGTTGCTAAAGATTACAAAGCTGATGCCATCAAGTAACACAGCTGTATATGAAACTTGAAGGCACGCTGTACAAGCTATATAAACTCATGTTAAATAAAGATTTTCAAAGTTCTTTTTGATTTCAGTTGAAAATGAAAATTTCAGTTTTATCAATTACTCCTTAAAAATACTTATTAACTTTAATAAGGTTTTCTTAAACATTAAAATATCATACCAGATTCAAACCATCAGTGTCTGCTAGGAGTTTAATGTATGCACCTCCACAATCAATACCATCTTGAAAATTTACTTCATATCTAAATGAAGGGAAAAAGAATCATACTGCTGATAAATAAAAATTACTAATTGCTCTTCAAACTCTAATGTATTACTCTCAACTCATTTAAACATAAATGATTTACATTACTAGAAAGCTCATATAAAGCATATTCACAACCTATAGGGAATAAGCAGAAATGCTTTATCTATGCATATCCTTAAAATATTAAAAATAGAATGATTATAATCAAGTATAGAAAAGCCAACCAATTTGTTGAAATAATTTTTTCCATCAAATCTGTTGAATTAAGAATAAGATACTTTGACTAAAACTGTAATAGAAAACTTCAGATTAAAATAAGGTATGCACTATACATATTCTTTATAAACTAAAACACAAAGACCATGAGGACCACAGCTGCAGCAACAGATTTCTAGAAATTGCTAATGATCTTAGATATCCAGTTCACTACTAATTTGTCTTTTAGTTCAACTACACCTAAGCCACGTTAAATAAGATGTACATTTAATTAAATACCTCCAGTAAAGAGATTTCATAATCTCAATCAATAACCTAGATTATTTCAGACCAGGAGATATGGGAAATACAGTATAACAGCTAAAAGAGTGAAGCGACATGAGAGTCTTTTCATGGGTTTACAACACTGTGTAATTCTCAGCAAAAGTGTTTTTTTTTAAGGAAATAGTCTTATTTAGGCAATAAGACATAGGCTTACTAACAGTATAGAAGAGATTTTTGGTAAATTGATGAATTACACATGACAAAAATCAATGAGGAAATGGCTAACAAAGTGAAAAACAGTGAAAACCAAAAAGGTTTAGATTTGGTTTAATGAATTAAAAGAAAAAGAGATGAAAACTAGAGAAGCAACAGGAACTATATAATTTTAATAAAGAACTGTAGTTTAAAATGTTTCTGAAGAAATGTTTCTGAAGAAATTTTAGTGACAAGCAAAAAAAAAAAAATAGCATACAAAACTTTGACAGTTTGAACCCAATTAGCGTATATATTTTATATTGAAAAGAACAGAGGAAATACAGTAAAATTTTAAGTGATTATCTCTGAGTTGCCAGATTATGGTGATTTTTCCCCCTACTTTCTGTTCTGCTTTATTTCTCAAGATATTTGCAGTGGTGGTTACAAGCAGGTACTTTGGAGTCAGAAAGACCTGAGATTTATTCTTGATTCTGCCATTTACTCTAGTGACACCTAGGTGAAGGCAGGTTAAGCTCTAAGTCTCTACTTGTTCATCTGTAACATGGGGACCTTGTCCATACGTACACCTCAATGGATTGTTATGATGATTAAAGGATATCATGCACAGCAATGGGCAAATAAATGCTCAAAAATGTTAGCTTCTGTTATGATCAGAAGAAAGGTTTTCTTTTGTTCTTTTTAATTTCTTTTTTGTGTGTGTGAGGAAGACTAGCTCTGAGCTGACATCCAATGTCAATCCTCTTTTTGCTAAGGAAGACTGGCCCTGAGCTAACATCCGTGCCCATCTTCCTCTACTTTATATGGGACGCCGCCACAGCATGGCTTGACAAGCGGTGCGTTGGTGAGCGCCCAGGATCCGAACCTGCGAATCCTGGGCTACCACAGCAAAGCACACGCACTTAACCTCTGCGCTACCAGGCTGGCCCCTCTTTTAATTTCTTAAATAAAAGGAATTTGCTTGTTTTCCTCAAAGCCTTATCAATATTTTTATTTTAAGCAGTAGCTGATGAAGAAATGTTTTTTCACGGAACATGTCTTTGAAGACTATAAAGTAAAAGAAATGGTACACAATGTGAATCAAAGGTAAATATTCACTATTTTAGGTAAAATAAAAAGAGATACAGCTTTTTTATAGGTGATCTAAGGACAAAGGGTTCTGTGAAAATATAAGAACCTGAAAGAACAATTTTGTAAATTGTCTCCATAAGTGTAAACAAAGCTTTGTTGTCCTATTATGCCTAGACTCGATTACTATGTCTACTTCTTACATTGCAAACTTTCAGAGTTTTCAAATTACTAATTTGGGACTAGTATAAATAACTCACAATGGATTAAAGGGTTAGTGAAATGTATATCATACAGCTTGACAGCTCCTCATCTTAAGTCACAGGAAAAATGAGGACATATGCAGAGTATATGTTAACGCTATTTTCTTCAGAGTATCATTTCCCAAACTCTTCTATGAAAGAGTAATTATTGTTAGGGGGAAAAAACTTTTGTGGCCAATATGTTTGGGAAACACAGTATTAAAGTTAAAAATAGGTTTTTATATGTAGAATGTCTCAAAGTCTTTAACGCGCAAATATGCTTCCTTATCTCCAAGGTTAGAATGTCCTTAGTTGCTAAAAATTACATGACCACATAATGCACGTTAACGTGTACAATTTGGTAAAAGCAGCTTTAGAGTAAAGTTATGTCATAAATCCATAGTATTTATAGTAGTTAATATAAAATTTCTTAATTTTATTTATCACATTTCATTTTATCAATATAAGGGAAGACAAACATTCACTCTCCTTTGAACTGTTTTCAAGCATATCAAAGACTGCTCTTCAATTCTTCTTGGTCCTCCTCCTTTGTCAGTATAATAATTTCACAATTGCTTTAATAATTTTTTAGACTTATTATCCAATCTTTGCTTCTAATCTTGCAGGCTATCTTTTGCTTACTTGTCTAGCAGTGATTTATACTTTCTGAAAATACTAAATTTAATTTATTTTACTCTGGAGAAGTTAAACTTTATATTATTTTCCTTTACTCATTCATTTAAGCCACAAAAGGTCAAAATAGAACATAATACTATATTCCACCTAAGTTTCCGCAGAATAAGATTACTTTCAAGAAAAAGGAAAAACCAAACTCTGAATAATGATAAATATCAAGCTCAAATATTAGTCACAATGAGTACTTATGACAATATTTTTAATTTGTTTAAATAATGGTCATATGCTCTTTGACATTATGTATCATTTTAAATTTATTGAAATGACAATGCAACTAAGCCAAAACATCACAACTGAAAAATTAAGCCAATTACACCAAATGCTATATTTTTTTTAATTTCTAAAATACAAAATAGCATTTTAGTTATACCACATAGGAACATGTTTAACTTGTTAATAAAAACTCGAAGGGGTTCTGGAGTGATATAATTTACAGTTAATGATATTTCCTTATGCTGTATTAACTTTGGACAGCCAAATCTTCTGATATAAGGTAGAAAGTAACATTTATACATTTCCTCTTCTTTGTTTTTAATTTGAATTCTACTGGTTTTGTAATTGTATTTGTATAGATCTGTTTTTTGGTTTTATACCAGTATAGGTGAAGTAAGCTTGAGGAATTCATACCTGATATTATGATAGTACACATGCAAGCAACATCATAATAAAACTAGTTTATGTCACATTGTGGGGGAGGGGAAGATTGTCTATAACGACACGTGCCCTTTAAGAGGGGTCCATGCTTGAAAGACACTGATCTATTCATGTATTTCCTTTTTAAAATAAATTTGCTGCCTTTGAATCTAATCACTGGTTTAACAGCAATATTTACAGTTCCATTCTGAATATACTGAGGTTAGTATCTTAATAGCAAGTAATTTTAAGAAAATAGTTAAAATAAAAATGGAAAAATAGTGATTTTCATAAGCATTATATAGTTTACAGTGGCGGAATTTTATATATTACAGTGCATATTATGTAATTTTTAAACTAATCTACTTTTCACTCAAAACTTCAAGGTGTTTATGTGTATACATGCACTGTATATTTAAGTAAGTGAAACTGAAAAGGAAAATCTGGATTTTTATGCCCATTTTATACCCATTATAGCTTTATTCAGAAGCCAAATTATAAAAAGCTAATATAAATTTCATGAAAAGTATTCAAAAGCACAATAAAACTTACTGAACTATCAAAGGTTTATCAGCAAAAATGAAGGGTTTTGCTAATATGGCAGATATTGCATGGTGCTTGGCTCTGGATTTCAATACCAGTCCTCTGTCACCAGGTACTCGGTTTTCTTTTAATTCTTCTATTTCCCATCTTCCTAAAATATAAAGCAAAGCAAAAAAACCAAAAACACTGACTTAAAAATTATTTATCAGCAGTGGTGACCAATAAGATTTTTCCATGAAGGCTGATTTGGGAAAAACAAAACAGAACCTAAATCAGAAAATAACATCTCCAGCTGTATGATGTACCTGCTTTTTTTTTCTCTTATTAGAGAAGGGTTTCATTTTCTCAGCTAAAATTGTGGAAACAAATAACAAACACTACAGTATCTGATTAAAGCACTTCTAAAACTGGCTCAGTTTGGATTTCTCTGAAAGACTATCAATCAATGAAGTTACAAAATGTGGTTTCTCATTGGGTCTATCAACATTGTATTTTTAAAGTGAGAGATTTTAAAATTACATATGAGACAAAGTGCATCTTTAACACAAAATGAGCAGTTTGCCTCAGTCTATTTCTTTTGAAATCATGGTATTCATCAGCTACTTTTCTTACTTTGCAGAAGTTATTGTAGGGATTTAAATTTTATTTTGAAAATTGTACGCTCAGTGAACCTTCCCAGGCTAAGCCAATCAGCTCTCAGAACTTACTGGAGAAGCACTAAGCTGTAGCACAGCACAGCTGAGTTAGGCCCTCTCTGGACCATAATTTCCCATGTTTAAGACCAGAAAGCTCCTGAAATTCGGTCATGGGCAGCACACAATGCAAAGCTAGGTGCACTACCTGTCATCCAAAAGTTGTGTGTTGGACTTTTCTCCTTTACGCTTTAAAGAATAGAAAATAACCAACTTATATTAATTTGTATAAAATGTTCTAGTTTTAAAAATTATAGGCATTTCCTATTCCAAGAAAACCCAATTTAGCAAAAATTGCATATTTTCCAGTATTGTGTCAAATTAAAATATTTATTAATGGGTACTTTTGAATCACTAACACTCTTTATATTACTTTTTTTCTTTCTAAAAAACAACAGTGTAAGAACCTGAACACTGGAGTATTTTTTGGTCTATCACTGTGCACACTTTATTGGGCTTTTAAAAATGCATATTTTAAAGTTTCCAGATTTCTTTTCCCTTTTTCCCCCCTAATTTGGTTATACTATACTTTTCTAAAAAAGATGAATTTATTTGGTTTTTCTCCTCTCACACTGATGATAAATTGTATTATCACTACTAACCTGTGCTTTGACCAAATCAAAAGGTCTTCTTTTAAGAAGTAACAACTTTACCTTTAGGGTTTATTGATAGTAAAGGATTTTTAAAACTATGTGGCCTTTTTTGCAATTATGTACATATGCTTATCAGCTATAAAAAGGTATCATCTAGCACTTTAATTTTAGAAAACTTGTGACCAGGTAGTTATGACAAGAAATTTTCCCCAGCTTCAAATAAACAATGACTTTCTATTAATTGATCGTTTACCCAAATTCTAGACAATACCAGGTAGTATAAATTCTGATATAAATACATTTCAAAAAGAATTCACACAGTTTTAGAAGACATCTTGAAAGTTGGTCACTTAAAGAATTGGTATTTATAACATCTATACTTTTATTAATAACTTAATCTGAAAAAGCTAAAAGTCTCCTCCAAATGCAAATCCTGTACCCCAGCACATAATGCTTCATACAGATCTGCCCCTGAAAAGCTAGGAATTAGTTTTACTCAAGGGACACTTGATGGAAGCTGTGAGTAACTACTGTGAAGACGAAATATTCCTGCAAAGAAATCTGATACGGGTCTCAACTAACCACTATGTAAATAACACTGCTAATACTGACATACAAAATACCATTTTCAAGACCTGGAACTTTAAGAGAATCCGTGTTTTTCACAGTTGCTGTCAAGAAATTGGAAAAAGTCAGCCAAAAAGTCATACCAAATCTAATATGCTAGAAAATTATTTTCGTGGATATTTATGTTTAATAAGACTACAAACCAAGCTTGGGTGCTAAGAATTTTGGTTTTTGCTTGCTTGTTTGATTTTTAATATTAAACTGGGGAAAAAAAATCATTTAAACACTAAAAACCATTTTTGTCCAGCAAGACATAGAGACTTAAACTCACTTCTAAGACAGACTATATCTTAACTTTAGGGAAACTCCATCAATGGATTCTTCTAAAATACAAATGTAAAGCAAGTATTTACCCAAAAATAGTTGCAAAAAACTATAAAGTAACCTAAACATAGATGTTTTAGGCCAAGCATTCTGTTGGATAGTGTGTATTTCTGTGGGTATATTTTATCTCCGCAGACTTGCTGCTTCTTTGGGGGAAATTGTTCTGTTCTCTGAATGGATTTAGACTGAACGCAGGATTGCTTGTTCTGCACATATGGTAGAGTTCTTTATGGAGTATAGAAGCATATATAAGCACAGAGGATTGGCTAGGATGGAGAACACTGCAAAGGAAGGCATGCAGGCATGATCTTTATCTCACACTGAGACAGAAACTATGAAAAGGAAGTAGACAGCTGACATCCTGCACATGCTGTTATTTGTTTTGTTGTTGTTCTCATGAAACTGCCTGTTGGGGTCTGAGTGTGAGGTAACATCCTTAGGGGCATGAGGTCCTCTGAGAGAGAGGAAATTCCCACTATCAGTCACCTTGACTGAGGCTGCTCTTGCTTTAGGATATAAAAATTGAGGAGGCTGGTTTTAGACTAGAAGGAGGAAGAAATTCTTTTGTCATACTCCAGGGGAGTCCTGTTAGGGAAGAAAAGATGACCCTTGCACACAGGACATTTCTTTCTATAGCTAAGCCTGAAGATAATCCTATCAGAGACCCAATGATAATGGACGAAAGCCCGGAGATGGGGGCTCCAGGAGCAGCCACACTGCTTGTAGCTCTCGTGAATTATCCTGTTTTGTACTCACTAGGAGAATCTTGCCATAAGTTATGACTTGATCTAGGTGTGCCCATGCTTAAGATGAAACAATGGAGAAGAACAGTAGCCTGGGAAACACTGCTTCAGGAAATGCAAAAGACTAACTGCAGTGGAGTGGAAATTCAACTGTCCAGAGTTAGAAAGCTGGATGGTGGCTTAAGTATGGATTACCCTGGGACTCCAGAAATATTGGAAAGGAGACAAAAGCCTGAACATTCTATTGTGAAGCAGGATGGGGCCTCAGGCCCCATATATGTATATTTAATAGAAATACAATCTCAAAAGCTAGTGAACTCTGGGTCATACTGGTTAAATTGAATATTTAAATAAATTTTTTACCATCATATATAGAAATCTCCGCATCTGTATCATCTTTCTTTGCTTTTGATAAGACCCACCTATAAATAAAGGTAAAGCAAACGTATATCATTAAAAATAAAACTTGCAATTTATAGATACGACGCATATTAGAAACACAACAAAAGATAACCCAACAGTCACTTTTCATTCAAAAATAAATGAATACTTAGAGCCTAAATAAGGATGCCTATACATAATCCTGCAAGGCTAGAGTTAAATCAAATTTGGAATCTGCAATTTACCAGCTGTACGATCACAGGTAAGATACACTAAGCCTCAGTTTCCTCACTGGGAAAATGGAGATAAAGATAGTACCTACCTACCGATTTAGGACAATGTCTGGCATATAATAATCAATGGATAATAACTCTTATTGTTTTCACCATTATTTAGGATGAGAGAGTAATCTGAATTTGTCACCTGAAATTAGATTATTAATATCTTTCCTAAGGAATGAAGAAATGTTATAAGTTTTTGCTTTACATTCATAATTCATTTGTATATTTTCTTTGTATAAATGAATAACTATTCAAATTAAATATTTCTATCAGTAACAAAAATGTGTTAAGGTACTGGTTTACACTGTCAAAGTACTTCAACGTTTTTTATAGTTCTGCAGTAGAGGCAAATTTCATAGGCCAATAACCAACAACTTCAAAACAGCTAATCAAGGAAAAAATTCTCTTGAATTAATACTCACCCAGCCAGTCTTCCACTATCAAAAGTTTCTGTAAAATATACTTCTCCTATAGGTTGAGGTGTCTTATATTTAATCTAGAAAATAGATGTTTAAAAATCTAAAGTTATTCATCTTCACGAATATTTTAATTAAATAATCTCACTAGTTAAGAACCTAGTATGTAATGCGCTCATAGATAATACAGACAGAAGGTAACATGGTCTCTGACCTCAAAACTCTGTATCCTAGTGGTGATAACGTACAAGAGAATATAAGAGATATGCTGATGGAAAAAAATACCATATGTGTAAACAGAGAAAACACTGACTCCTTCTAACATGGGAGGAATGGGGGAAGAAGTGATTAGAGAAGGCCTAAGACACATGACACATGGCTTTGAAAGGCTTCTAACAGGTGACAATATCTGGGAATAAAAATCATTAGAAGTAAAAGAAACAGCCTGATCAAAAGCATGTAAGATGAAAAATTTAGTAAGCATATAGGCTAGTTTAAAATTACCTCTTAAATTTCACTGTTACATGGCTGGAGGATGATAATACCATTTTGAGAGATTAGGAACCCAAAGAAGAAAAGGATTCAATAGAGAAAGCATGGCAAAGCAATTATCTGCAAAGCATTGTTTCAAGTGCCATGTAAGTGTTAGCTGCTATGATGATGATGATGGTGGTGGTGGTGATGTGGCAGCTCTTTAATCCTCATGATACTTCTATGCAGGAAGTACTATTATTGTACCCATTTTACATATGATGAAACTGTGGGAGAGGGGCAAAGTAACTTGTAGAATATAATTGTAGGACTTAAAGACATGAGCCCAGGCTGTCTGGCTCCAAAGCTTATACACTTAACCACTACACTATCGAGAACGTACCAACAAAATAAAAGATTAAATTTATTGACAAATTATCAAAAGATAATTTGAACTGATAATGAACGAATAAAATTTTGCTTCAAGTAATAGCTCAATCTAGGTCCTTTAGAATCTGCCTTTGTGATTTTTATATGTATGATTATGAGATTTCTTCTCTCTGCCTTTAGGGAAAAGGATGCAGAAGTACTTTTTCTATTTTCACTGTCCCTACCCTGCCTTGAGAGTACATGATTTCCTGTCTAAGGGAGGAAAATCAGTAATTAAACAAAATTCCATATAATTACTGACAGGGTCAATATTCTGTTACCAAAATCACCAATCTTCTATGAAGTTTACTGAATTACAACTTTACTGTTCTCTATATTTTTATGGATTGGCAAAATGGACAATGATGTCACAAGAGGCTTCCTTATGTTCGACCACCCTTTAAATCACCAGCAGTTGATTTTGCCCTTTATTTATACTTTACTCGTACTTTACCATATCTAGATTACTCATGCTATAAAATTAGAAGCATCAAAAATTGTTCTTTCCCACTTCTTATCATCTTTTCAAATTATCACCAAATACAGTTAAGAGTGGTAGGTATCTGCCAACTCCTTTGAAGTATTAACCTCCAAAAACCTTTGTAGTTGCTGTATCTAAGTCAGTCATTAGCACTTTGATTACTTACTTTCTGTGGATCACAGAACTAGGTTTTAAAAGAAATGTCTTTGTGGAGCTTAAAACTTAGGAGAAAGAATATTCACCTTAAACAGCTAGCAACACTTGCATTTGGAAATAAAAAACTCTAAACGGAAGTGAGGCAAAGAAGTCTCTAACAACTATATATTATTCTCCTTGGCCCTTTAAACAGTAGTTAGCACAATACAATTGATGCTTTCTCACCATCAAAAATATTTTTGAAAAAAAATTTCTGATTGTCCCAATATTAGATGTGAATATTCCTCAATATGAAGGCTCTTATGGATTGTCAGTGTACAAAAACCTCTATAAAGTTTTCCAGGCTCTTGCTTGTCACCACCTCAAAACACACATCTTAACAATGCTGAGACAGAAACATGCGTGAGCCTCACTAAATGCTTATTTTACCATCACTTCCGTTTCTAATTCATCCTCCTATTTAGCATTTTCTTTCCTCAGAGAAATAAAGAAAAGCCACTTACTTTACTTTTAGGAGAAGGGCAAATTATACTACTTTTTCTTTTATCTGAAGAGGGCTGGCAGTGTCAGAAATAAGACAGAAAACCTTTCTCTTAGCTAAAGTACTTAGTCCTCTTTAGCTGGTGACAAACTCCCATTTTGACAGTCAAAACCTTACTCATATTTATTTGATAATAAAACTGTGTTAAGTGCCATGCGCAAATTTCCATAGCACATGGGCCCTCTAAAAACACAGCAACAAGGGTTGGAAAAAAGCAACATTTTTCTATTTACTTGGAAAATGAAACCATTAAAACAGAAATGAATCTTAAGACATCAGTCACCCTTATGTATCATGTAAAGGAATAATTTATAGCTCATTTCTCAATAACCTTACCTCTGAGGAGAGTCTACCTTCATTGACAACATTCTCTTCTGACTTTTCATCAAAATCTTCCATCTCAACCCCATCATCCAAAAATTCTGCATGAATTGAAACGAATAGAAGACCGAAACGTAGCCAAAAGCCTTGGAAACGCATATCGATTATCTGTGAAATTAAAAGTAATCAGTGAAAATAAAACAAAGTTGTGAAAAATATATGTAAGTATACTTACAAAGAAATAATTTCCCTTAATACTTCCTTTATTCTAAGATGGCTTTAAAAACAAATCATTACCAAAATTATTTAAATTATGATTTGAACAATGATAATACAAACTCCAAATTTCACAGGACACAGATTCTACAGCTGCAAGCCTGCCTCTAAAAACAAAGACCAATGGTATGAAACCTAAAGATATAGATAACAGTGATTACCAAACTCAAACAACATGTGGACACCTTTAAAAGAAACAAAAAAGGATCATGATTCCTAAATGTTCACTTAAGTTACTTTTTTATTACAATGTTGCTTAAGTGTATATAAACATAAAATTGGAAATTTTGTCATTATAAAACCAAAATACTTTTATATAAACACAAAGAAAAAACTAAGGAAAAATAATTTTACTACAACTTAATGTGATAGTCTTTTGCTGAAGTTAAATCACAGCTAAAAAACCAAATACAGGGTTTATTGCAATCTGGTTGACTGCTATCGATAAAGTTCTTTTGTATTTATCATTCCCCTAATACTGTGAAGACTCAAACTATTTCTCTACTCAAATACTGCAAAACTTCTGTTCCTTATAGCATTAACTGAAATGAGTAGAAGCCAAATATTATTTGGCTGCCCCTTGGCAGAAATAAATGATTTATATAATTACATCCTCCTCTATTCCTATTAGCATGTTAAAAATTCAAGTTTTATCTCTTGGTGCCAGTGGACTTTTAGACACTGAAACAGTGTGGCAGTCCTTGGTTATAAGGTGGTCAGTCATCCACAGTATAGCTATAATACTTTTTTTTCAAAGTTACCACCAACATGAAAATTTTTTTTAAAAGAAGTAAATTCTTAGAGAGAACTCTTAGATCCTCCACAACATATCTATGGGCCTATATGGGTCTGCTTAAGAAACACTGGATTTACAAGATAGCACTCTACATCTACCCAAATGGCTATAATCAAAGAGATAATAACAAGTGTTGGGAGGATGTGGAGAAATTAGAATCCTCACATATTGCTGGTGGGAATGTAAAATGAAGTGTGGAAAACAGTGTGAAAGTTCTTCAAAATGTGAAAAATAGAATTACCTTATGACCCAGCAATTCTACTCCTTGGTATCTACCCAAGAGAAATGAAAACAGATGTCCACACAAAAACTTATAATATAAATGTTTAAAGAAACATTTTTCAGGGGCCGGCCCCGTGGCTTAGCAGTTAAGTGCGTGCGCTCCACTACTGGCAGCCCGGGTTCGGATCCCGGGTGCAGACCGACGAACCACTTGTCCGGCCATGCTGAGGCGGCGTCCCACATGCAGCAACTAGAAGGATGTGCAACTATGACATGCAACTATCTACTGGGGCTTTGGGGAGAAAAAAGCGAAAAAAAAAAAACGGGGAGGATTGGCATGGATGTTAGCTCAGGGTTGATCTTCCTCAAAAAAAAAAAAAAAAAACATTTTTCATAATAGCCAAAAAGTGGAAACAATCCAAATGTCCATCAACTGATGAAGAGATAAACAAAATGTGGAATATTCATACAATGGAATATTATTTAGCAATAAAACTGAACGGAGTACTGATACGTTACAAGATAGATGAATCTCAAAAACATGTTGAGTGAAAGAAGCCAGTCATAAAAGACCACATATTGTAGGATCCCATTTAAAAGAAAGAGGCAAATCCATAGAATTGGAAAATAGATTAGTGATTGCCTAAGGAAAGGAGTGGGAAGAAAGGGTTAATGGGTACAAGGTTTCTTTTTGGGGTGATGAAAATGTTCTAAAATTGGAATGTGGTAATGGTTGCAAAACTCAATAAATATAAAAACCCATTGAATTGCAAACATTAAACAGGTAAACTTGAAGGTATGCAAATAATGTAGCAATAAAGCTGTTTTTAGGGCCAGCACCAGTGGTCCAGTGGTTAAGTTCGGTGTGCTTCACTTTGGCAGCTCAGGTTCAGTTCCGGGGAGCGGACCTACACCACTTGTCTATCAGTGGCCGTGCTGTGATGGCAACTCACATACAAAACAGAGGAAGACTGGCAACAGATGCTAGCTCAGGGCAAATTTTCCTCAGGAAAAAAAAAAGCTGTTTTTAAAAAAGACACATCAGATTATAAAACCATTTTTCCATATTGTTAGCTCAACTGATTAGAACCCTTTTTAATGAAATCAAAACTTCACACGAATTTGCAAGCCAGTTAGCCTTGACTTCTTCTAAAGGTCACTAGCTACAACTCTACAGTTTACTTTGAAAATGCATGTTTTTCAAAAAAATCAGCACCAATCTACCATAATATGAACATTCTATATTGAAAGATGTATTACCACCATCTTTATGGACAAAGACAACACAAAAAATGATGCACACTATCATCTGTCACAAGAGTTTAGCCTCTCTGAATCATAAAAAAGAGGTGTAACTGGGATAGGAAGTAAATGTCAACATATCAATTTGACTCAATAAAAATAAGATAGGTTTATTTCTTTTAATTTTCACTTACTGACACAGGAATTAATAAGCAACATTTGCAAGTTGCTTATTAATGGTTAACCCCAAAAGCTTCATTGTTCTAAAAGTTTAAGAGCCTTCCATGATTTATACAATGCATTAAAAGGTGTTTTGCTTGACTTGCTATCAATAACATTTGAGTAAAACAGAAATGCATAAAATAATAATAGTAATAACAAACATTAATATCACTTCAGGTCCATATCTTCTCCTTCAAAATGAACACACACTTTAGTTTCTTATTAATTAATTTGTTGAAAAAATACATTCTAAGTGCTTTGTTTGAGCTCTGGTGTATTGAGCTGCCAGGGAAGAATTAAGGGGAAGCCAAGCAGGCAGTGCCCCCTCTGGAAGTCTACTCCTACTACAACCAGAGCAACCCAATTTTATTTGTTTTCTGTATGAGAGTTCTTCCTAACTTGCCTTCAGAAATAGTTGCCAAGGCTTTAGAAAAAAAGTTTAGAACACACTTTATCTTGAAAGTTTGCTTCTTCTCTCAAGTTCTATGGCTAGGATCACTCATTTGTATAAAGGAACTAGCTAATTTAATCTTTGCAGCTCGGGACACGAATAGGATAGGCATCATCACTCTCAATTTACAAACTGAAAATAGAAAGATTTAAAAACTTGGTCAAAAACCCACAGCTAATATCATCCTCAATGGTGAAAAACTGAAAGCTATCCCTCTAAGAACAGGAACCAGACAAGGATGCCCACTGTCACCAC